TTGATGTGGGGGAGTGCTCAGCTTTAAAGGAACGAATTGTGTTCCTAGAGTGGGCGACTTGATTCAGAAGTTATTGACATAATCTTATGGTTCGCGGTATTCCATTCATCCGGGTGTGACCAAGATGTACCAAAACTTAAAGCGACTATATTGGTGGCCGGGAATGAAGAAAGATATAGCGGAGTTTGTGGCCAAGTGTCAAAATTGCCAACAAGTAAAATATGAGCATCAAAGGCCTGTAGGTTTTCTTCAAAGAATTCCAATTTCGGAATGGAGGTGGGAAATGATAGCTATGGATTTCGTAGGTGGTCTTCCTAAGACTTTGGGGAAGTTTGATTCTATCAGGGTAGTGGTGGACAGATTGACTAAGTCATCCCATTTTATTCCAGTCAGAATAGACTATAATGCACATCAATTTGGCTAAGGTTTGTGTGAAAGAGACAATGACTGCACGGTGTGCCCCTTTTCTATCATCTCAGACCACGGTACGTGGTACGCAATTCACACCCAAGTTATTGGAGGAAATTACACAACTCACTTTTAGTACAACTTTTCATCCGCAAACGGAGGGCAGTCGAAGAGAACTATCCAAGTGTTATAGGACATGTTGAGGGAATGTGTGATTGACTTTGGAGGACATTGGGGTAAGTTCCTACCTCTGTGTAAGTTCTCCTATAATAACAGTTACCACTCTAGCATTGATATGATGCCATTCGAGAAACTTTATGGGAAGGGATGTAAATCACCCATAGGGTGGTTTGAGACTGGAGACGTGAAACCTTTGGGGGTTGAATTAGTAAAGGATGCTCGAGATAAAGTGAGGAGTATTAAAGCTAAAATTTTGGCAGCCCAAAGTAGACATAAAAAGTATGTAGGCCATAAGGTAAAAGACATGGCATTTTAGACTGGTGAGAATGTGTTTCTTATGGTGTCACCCATGAAAGGGGTGATGAGATTCGATAAGAAGGGCAAGCTTAGTCCTAGATACATTGGACCATTTGAGATTCTTAACTGTGTAAGGCCAGCAGCATATAGATTATCCTTACCACCTAATCTATTGGGAGTTCTTCCGGTAATTCATATATCCACGTTGAAGAGATATCATGGTGACATGAATTACATCATAAAGTGGGACTCAGTTTTTTTAGACAAAGACCTCCAATATGAGGAGGAACCGATTGCAATTCTTGATCGAGATGTCCGAAAGCTGAGGATCAAAGAGATTAAATCCGTGAAAGTTCAATGGAAGCATAGTCTAGTTGAGGAAGCTACTTGGGAAACCGAGAAGGACATGCAAGACAAGTATCCTCAGTTGTTCATCGTTCAGATACTACTCCACACTTACTTTAGCCTATTTTTCCTAAGTCTCTGGGACGAGTGATGGGTAAATTGGTATATATTATAACGACCTGTTCTCGTCGTTATAGAAAAGCCATTGGGGAAAAATTTTGGGTCAAAATTTTTTTTCGTAGTAACTTGAGAATTCCTAGCTTAGTCCAAATTTGGACGAAATTGGAGTTAGTGAGGTCTAGGAAAATCTGGTAACAAATGAGAGATCTGATAATGAATTTGATTGCATTAATGGATAGCTAGATGTAAATGAGCTTGTATGAATTTACAAAATTGAATTCGGGCAAGTAGAACTCCCGAAATTGATCTTAGCATGAACGGGTAGTTTCTGACTGTCATGGGTTGAAGGTGTGTTGTGAAATGGGAGGTTGGAACTCTTAATTCGACTCACTACTTTGTGCAAGCCACCGGGGCGGGATTATTCCTGCCAGGGCGGGGCCGCTGTGGCGGGATGGGGGCCGCCATAGCAGGCCAGTCGCGAATTAAGTCAGAAATAAACCCCAAAAATGTCATTATTCTACAAACTTTGTTCTTAAGAGTTAAGAGACGAACCAGGGCGACTTCTTGACAGTTTTTCAGCATTCTTGAAGCAAAAGGTAAGGCTTTTATTCTCTAAATCCATTTTTCGATCCGTAGAATGTAAATTCATAGGTAATTATTGTTGGGGGGATGGTTTTGAAACTGTTTGGATGGTGGGAAAAAGCCTTAGCTGCATATTAGGATCATGGGGTTAGACTAGGGTTGATAGTGGTGATTGTAATCTTGGTAATTAGGCGTTTATTGATCCTCGTGATATATTGATTGTTTGTAGACCAAGAACAAGCGGAAAGAAGTTGGAAAAGGGTATATCATGTTTCTTAGAAGGGTTCAAGATTTGTTCGAGGTAGGTGATGGTTGATTTCTTGTTTTGTGTGATGTATACTAACAATTGCTTCATTGTAATGTATGTATGTATACCAATGTTGCACTATTGATCACATATAATGCAAATGAGTATGAATGAATGATTGTATGCCATGAATCAACACTTGATTGTATGATTGTGGGAATGTACATTGTGATTGTGACTTGTTGAATGGATCGGGTGTTACGTTCCAACACACTAACTGGGATCGGATGTAACGTACCGACATACATATTGGAACGGGTGTCACGTTCCGACACACTAACTTGGATCGGATACCACGTTCCGATGCACTAACAGTTTGGGTATGGGTTCCATGAGAGGACCATTAAATTGTCGTGATCACTTGTTAAAGAGAATGTGGAATTGTAAGTTGTTCATGATTGATAATCCATATATGTGTTATATTCTGTATATGCATGTTTACTATGTTGTAACTGTTGTATATATTTTGCTTACTGGAATAGCCGTGTGATCCTACCAGTACACTGTGGTTGTGTACTGATACTGCACTTGCTCTTTCTTTGTTGAGTATAGGGCATCTTCACGTAGCTACTAACAAACCTCGTTTAGAAGACCAGTGATCGATTCGAATTCAAGGGTGAGCCAGTTCTTCCAAGCTACCATGAGTTCTCCTTTTTCTCCGTCCATCTTATTCGGACTTAGATTAGTACTTTAGATATTCACATGTTTAACTGGGTGGTATCCATTTTCTTTAGACTTATGGTTCCTTGTTAGAGTTTTGGTTCATTGACTTTCAGGTTCTAGGGAATAATTTCCGCAATGTTTTGTTAGTCATTGTTAGACTTTTGGAGTTTATGGAACTCTATTTTAATTTTGCATTTAGACCTGCTTTTGTATTTTTAAATGTTTAGTATTTGATTAAGTTGTTTAGTTCTTGGGTTAGCTAATTAGTATAAATGGTTCTCCCACCGGAGGGTTAGTGTGGGTGCCAACCACGACGGTTTGAGTCGTGACAGACTCATTACTTATCTTTCACGTTTAACTTAGTCTGTTTTGACTGGCTAAAATTTAACATATATCTTCTTGTGAAGTTTAATTACTTTAGAAACAACTTTAGATGTATTTGACTGAAGTTAAAACTTTGTGTTTAACTTCAGATATTTTTGTATGTACATATATATTGTTCTAAAGTATATGATATAATCTGTCAAGACATACTTCGAATATTTTTAAATGAAGTTATAAATTTGACTATTCAAAATTCACACCTATTTTCATATCCATGCAAGAGAACTACAATTTTGATACCAACTTTGTCACGATCCAGACTATTGTGATTGGCACCCACACTAACCCTCCAGTGGCAGAACCATTACTATAACCCGACTAAGCAATTTTCAAGAGACTAAAACACGTAAAGATACAAAAGGAAGTATAAATGACTAAATAAATACTGAGTTTCCATAAACTCCGAAGGTCTAACAACAACTATTGCGGAAATTCAACCCCTAGAACTTAAAGTCATTGTACCAAAACTCTACCAATCAACAAGTCTAAGTAAAATGGGTGCAACATTGAAACTAAGCGTAAGAAAAAAGTCTGAATGAAGAAATAGCACGAGTCCGAAAAGATTGGACTAAACTAGGAGGGATCCATGACAGCCTCAAAGAACTAGCTCACTCTTGAATCCGGTCTCGGCCAGTGATCTCCTAACTGAGGTTTGTCCGGAGCCGCCTAAAGATGCCTTGTACTCAACAAAGAAAGAGCAAGTGCAATATCAGTACATAAACCACAATGTATGATAGGATCACACTGCTACTCCAGTAGGCACAATATACACAAGCAATTACAACACAGTAAATACATATATAGAATGCACAATTCAGTTATCATTTAAGGTACAACATACAGTTTCCCAATATCAATGCCAATTAGATAGGAACATAATAATCACAAGTGGTCCTCTCATGGAACTCACACTCAAATGTTAGTGTGTCAGAACGTGAAACCCGATCCAATATACATGTGTCGGAACGTGACACTTGGTCTAATATATGTGTCAGAACGTGACACCCGATCCAATATATGTGTCGAAACGTGACACCTGATCCAGTCAGCACAACCACAGTCACAATCACACCCATAATGAACAGTACTCATAGTCATACAATCAAGTAATAGGTTCATAGCATGTAATTGTTCGCACATAATCATTTCATTTAATTCGATTCACATTTCCCTATTCACATGCATCCATGCATACAATGAAGCAATTAACCAGCATATATCATGCAAACAGGAAATCGAACCATCACCTACCTCGAAAACAAGCTTGAATACCCCTAAGACAATTGAGCCTTCCCTTTCCGAAGTCTTTCAGCTTGTTCTTGGTCAATAAATAAGTAATTCACACAAGGATCAATAAACAAGGTTTAATTTACCCTGATAATAACACAATTATTAACCCAAGACCAAACCCATGATCCTAATGTTCAACTAGGGCTTTTCCCTACCATTAACTTCATGCCAAAACCCTTCCCCAATGATAATTACCCAAGATTCTAGGTTCTAGAAATCGAAATATGGATTAGGGGAGTAATTTCCTTACCTTTAGCACTAGAAGTCATGGAAATCTGTCAAGAAATTGCTTTGGGTCGTCCTTTAGCTCTCAAGAACGAAGTTTTGCAGAAAATAACAATTTTAGGGTTTTTCCCGACTTATTTCGCGATTGGCCAGCCACGACGGACCCCATCCCGCCACAGCGGTCCCGTCTTAGCGGGATTTATCCTACCCCGATGACTTGCACGGAGACAAAAGCTGGGAATTTGAGTTCCAAGCTCTGGTTTCACAACACACTAACAAATCAGGACATTCTAAAACTACCCTTTCACGCCAAGATCAGTTTCAGGAGTTCTACTCGCCTAAATTCGATTCTGTAAAGTCATACGGGCTCGTTAACATCTTGGTTATTCACTCATGTGATCATATTCACAATTAAACCCCACATTCATTACCATATTTTCCTAGACCTCACCTCACTCAGATTTTGTCTGAGTCTGGCCTAGGCTAGAATTTTCCAAGGTACTATTTAGAAGTTTTCTGGCTCAAATTCTTTCCCCATTGTCTTTTCTATAACGACGAAAATTGGTCGTTACAATAGGTACAAATTTACCCATCACTCGTCCCCGAGTGATCAACTAGGAGAAATGGCTAAGGCAAGAGTAGAGTAGTACCTGAATCGTTGAACAACTAGGATACTTGTCCCGCATGTACTTATCGGTTTCCCACGTAGCTTTCTCAACCGAACGATGCTTCCTTTGAACTTTCACAGACTTTATCTCTTTGGTCCTCAGGTTCCAGACATCGCAATCAAGAATTACAACTGATTCCTCCTCAAACTGAAGGTCCTTGACTAACAAAGCTGAGTCCCACTTTATGATGTAATCTCCATCTATATGATACTTCTTTAAGATGGACACATGTAACACTGGATGTACTCCAGATAGGCTAGGCGGTAAATCCAACCTATAAGCCACTGTCCCTACATAGTCAAGAATTTCAAATGGCCCGATGTATCGAGGACTAAGCTTGCCTTTCATGCCGAATCTCATCACCCCTTTCATGGGTGACACTTTTAGAAGAACTTGCTCACCAGTTTGAAATTGCATGTCCCTTACCTTACGGTCTGCATACTTTTTATGTCGACTCTGGGTTGCTATAAGCTTACCTTGGATGTTTCGTACCTTATTCTGAGCATCCTTCAACAAATCAACTCCCAAAGGTTTCACATCTCCAGCCTCAAACCACCATATGGGTGATCTACATCCCCTCTCATAAAGTGCCTTGAACGGCGCCATGTCAATGCTGGATTGGTAATTGTTATTATAGGAGAACTCACACAAAGGTAGGAACTTATCCCAATGTCCTCTAACACTTAAATAGTCTACTCTGACTGGAATGAAGTGGGCTGACTTAGTAAGTTTTTCGACCACCACCCAAACGGAGTCAAACTTTCCCAAGGTCTTGGGAAGACCAATCACGAAATTCATAGTTATTATTTCCCACTTCCATTCCGGAATTGGCATTCGTTAAAGCAAACCTGCCGGCCTTTGGTGCTCATACTTTACCTATAGCAGTTTTGGCACTTAGCCACAAACTAAGTTATGTCTTTCTTCATGTCAGACCACTAATAAAGTCTTTTCAAATCTCGGTACATTTTGGTCACACCCGGATGAATGGAATACTGCGAACCATAATTGACTAACGCCGGACCAACACTAGTCAACTTGCCGGCAACAACCGTGGCCATTTTGAAAAAAATTATGAGGACATTCTAGGGTTATTGAAGCTATTTTGATTCACTGTAAAGGTTTCTCTTAAGCAAATCAATGAAAATTGTTTAGATGCGTTTTTGAATCTCAAACTCCTTATTTTATAATAGATCAAAACATTATAAATTATGTCTATCCTCTAGAAAAAATCTCGAGTTTGAAATGGTCGAGAAAAAAACAATATTTGTTCAATATCATTAACTTATTAAAAAATTGTTAATTATGACGTCACAATATACATCAAAAGTTATGACGCTATGATACTGTTTTTCTTATAAAAATAAATAAATAAATATAACGAGCATGTGTAATAAAAGTCCATTGAAAAATAGGCTGGTCGCTATTTCTGGAAGGTCCATGTAATTGAGGATTTTAATAAATAGAACGTGAGTTGAGTGCCCAACTCCTCATACAATCTTCCCCAAAACTATGATGTGAACTGCGTACCACGGTCCGAGATGATGAAAAGAGGCCCCCCATGCAGCCTCACTATCTCCTTCACATAAACCTTAGTCCATTACTGAACATTATAGTCTACTCTGACTGGAATGAAGTGGGTTGACTTAGTAAGTCTTTCGACCACCACCCAAATGGAGTCAAACTTTTCCAAGGTCTTGGGAAGACCAATCACGAAATACATAGTTATTATTTCCCACTTTCATTCCGGAATTGGCATTCGTTGAAGCAAACATGTCGGCCTTTGGTGCTCATACTTTATCTGCTGACAGTTTTGACACTTAGCCACAAACTAAGCTATGTCTTTCTTCATGCCAGACCACCAATAAAGTCTTTTTAAGTCTCGATACATTTTGGTCACACCCGGATGAATGGAATACTGCGAATCATAACTGACTAACGCCGGACCAGCACTAGTCAACTGGCTGGCGGCAGCCGTGGCCATTTTGAAAAATTCAATCAGGAAATTCTAGGGTTATTGAAGCTATTTTGATTCACTGTAAATGTTTCTCTTAAGCAAATCAATGAAAATTGTTTAGATGTGTTTTTGAATCTCAAACTCCTTATTTTATAATAGATCAAAACATTATAAATTATATCTATCCTCTAGAAAAAATCTTGAGTTTGAAGTGGTCGAGAGAAAAAAATATTTGTTCAATATCATTAACTTATTAAAAATTTGTTAATTATGAGGTCACAATATACATCAAAAGTTATGATGCTATGATACTGTGAATATATATATATATATATATATATATATATAAAGAGCATGCGTAAAAACAAGTCCATTGAAAAATAGGCTGGTTACTATTCCTGGAAGGTCCATGTAATTGAGGATTTTAATAAATAAAAAAGATTTCTTAAATATATAAGTTAACCCCACATAAAATACGTCACTTTCTTTAATTATACATATCAACTTCAATTGAAATATGTGTGTGGTTTTATAATTTTTTTTATGTTAATGCGTATAATTAAGAAGACATATTTTAAGTGGTTAATTCATTAATTTAATGGGTACATTTGAGAACACACATAAAAACTTTTCTAAAAGAATTGAGCTAAAAGTGTAATAAAAATACTTTATCACATATTTAATTACTTAATTAAAATTTATCATAATTAAAATATCTAAATAAAGTTTATGATAAGCCTAAAATAGACATAATTGAACATAGTTTTGGAAGTTTCATATCGCAATTCTAAACATAAGAAAAATAACTTCATCATCTCTCTCAGACAGCTAATTCTACAAAAATAAAAATTAATATATATATATATATATATAAGATTTCAAATTCAAAATTCACCTAAAAGATATAGGATTTAAATTTCACGATTGTGATTTTAATTTTTTAAAAATAAATATTTGATTTATAAATTTATATTTTATAAAATGAAATCTATATTTTGAAACTTTACAGGAAAAAAAAGAGTCATGTGAAGAGACTGACTGTACCGTTCAGGAGATTGTAATATTAGAGAATAACTAGTTATTACTATTGTAGATTCATATTGAAGTACTAATGAATCTTTTTAAGATTATGTGTATTTGAAAGTTTGTAATAATGTGTAATTACAAGTACTTATATATAAAAACGTTGTAGAGATATATATATATGATTTTAATATAATATTCTCACATATGATACGAATAATCTATTCACACACTGAAACAAAAATTCTAAATCAAATTTAATTTTTTATAAAGAAATTACGAGCTTGAAATTGAATTTATTAGTCAAGTCATGAATTATCAAAAGTCCTCTTAATTTGTATAAATTTTCTTTGTCCACAACCTATATATTCTAGACAATGTAAATACGTGTATAGCTAACTCTAGCCGTTTTATTATATTGTAGGTTAGGGTTTAGGAGGAGGACACGTTAACGGGCTAACAAGTTAATTAGCACCTCTTAAGCATATAAAATCGATAAATAAAGACTTTTTTTCATATTAGGTTGTTTGTCTGTTTTATTTAAGGAAACAATTACAATAATATACTACTTAAGACTTTAATTAACAATATATGCACATACTTTTATTTAATTATAAACATAGTTTATAAATTACATGCATAGCAGAATAATTAATTTTTTATGTTAATTTAATTATATAAATTCGATTTTTTTCTCTCCTATTTTTGGGATTATATGCCTTATTTATCTCCAAATTACACTTTTGTTTGCACACGTTACTGTCTTTTGAATGATATTATTTTGTTTTCTTCCTTTTTAATTCAATGAATGAAAAGTAAAACCTTTTTACTTTTCCAACAATTTATTCTTTCTAAATATTCATTATTCCTTATGTAGTTTTATTTGGAGAGAAATTGTAACCATTGTTGTCTTTCTATATTCCGTTCATATTCATCATTTTCACCATTCTTTTCTTTCTCACCAGTTTAATGCTTTCACCATTTTTATTTTTTATCTTAAGGTCAGTCATCCCTCAATATTATATAATACAAACAATTCAGCCATTATATACCATCAATAAATTTGAACAGTTATATCATATTTTCACCAAAAAAATCATAATGTAGTAAATCAACATGCAATCGATCACCAATGTTACAACAGTAATTACACCACTATTATAAATTGATCCTTATTATGAATTAGCTAATTAACCAAATATGAATTAAATTGTGATTAACATTCATTAAAAAAATCTGAATTTCAACAAAAACCTAAAAAATTCAAATGTATACTTTCCAAATCAAAACCAAAAAAAAACACCAATGCAAATTCTGAGGCGCAAATTTAGGGCAAGTCTTTTTGTTATGCCCTGGTGTACCACATTTACTACAAGTGACTTTACACCTTTTGAATTTCCCTTCGTTGAATTCCTTCTTACGATCATTATTTGGTGGTCTGCCTTGTTGTTTTCTTGCAATTGATGGTAACACTATTTTTTTCATAATATGTGATTGAATATACCAAGTGCTTTCGCAAGGCATTGGATCAATTGAGATTTCATAAGTATTTGAAAAGTCTTAGAACTATGATAAGCTGACCAATAATATTCACAGTGTTTGTTTCTGTATCTGATAGCAGCAACTGTATGACTACAAAAAATCTCATATTGTAATCCACGTACTTACATGTGTTAGATTACAATTTATTGTTAATCAATCTCCAAAATAATTTTGGACAACCCAAAATACACTATAAAATACACCAATAGATGAACCAAAAAAATACCATAAAAATTGATGTTTATATAGACCTAAATATATCAATTACACCTAAAAATACACTATCTAAATTCCTAGCAAAAAGGCTATCAATTGTGGTAGCTTGCTGTCCATTAAGAATAGAAGTGCTGCAACTCGAGCCCTTTTTCTCTGAATCAATGTAGAAGCCTCAAATACACCAATAGATGAATCAAAAAAATACCATGTTATATGGTGATTTATATGACCTTAAATATATCAATTACACCAGAAAATACACTATATACACAAATAGATGAACCAAAAAACTATCAAGTTAGTTGGTGTTTATATACGACCTAAAATTAGCAATTCTATCATGATATACACCATAAATACACCAATAGATGAACCAAAAAACTACCATGAAAATTGGTGCCTATATACAACCTAAATATATCAATTATACCAGAATATACACCACAAATACACCAATAAATGAACCAAAAAACTACCATGAAAGTTGGTGTTTATATACGACCTAAATATATCAATTATATCAGAAATACACTATCTACTATCCCAATAGATGAACCAAAAAAATATCACGTTAGTTGGTGTTTAAATACGTTATAAAATATACAATTACATCATAACATAAACCCAAAAATTTATCCCAAATTTTTATGTTTATTAACAATCAATATACACTATCAATTAC